TGACTGCAGAACAGTCATACACGATGTCAGAGGAAAATGCAATGCTAAGTGCCTACGAGATGTTGACCCTTTGATTTTTAAAAGATGCGAGTCTGAGCAAAGTGAAAAACTGCAGGTTAAACCCATTTAACAAGGACTCCCCCCTGAAACGCTGTATTCGTACAGAGGTGGTTTTGTAGGATCGTGAGTGGTGCAGAAGCACAGAAAGCCCAGGATGTGTGCTTCTAAACCTGTAGGCATATCGGACTGCTCCCAGCTGAGAAATTTTACACAAATAGTGTAAGCGGCTGGGATGCTGCTGGAGCTGAGCAAACACTAAGAAAATCTTGACGTATCCCTGCTCAGCAGGTGTATCTTTTGATTGAGTCAAATCTGTCACAGTTCTGAAAAAAGCACAAAGGTCCTTGCCCTGCTTCATTGTATTTGAGAATTTATTGCCCATCTTCCTTATAGTGGAGAAGAAAAAGATTTACAACTCAGCTAAGCTGCAGCTAGTCCAAGAGGCTGCTCAAGCCACGAGCTGTGGGTGTTCACTGTAAGGTTGTTAAGGAAGGCCTAACTTCAGGCCATAAGTGCTTTTAGAAGAAACTGTAAATCACCTTAACTTTTATACACTGTGGCAACATGCGAACAGAGGAATGTGGCTGGTCTGTGCTAGTCCCAGAAAAGGTCCCAGATGAGGCCAGCAGACTGGGCGGCAGACGTGCGATACCAAGCCTCTGAGTAAAATCCTCAGGCTCGTATCTCCCCGGTGCTACGTGCAGATGGGAGTAGGGTGAAGGAGGAGGGAACCAGCAGAGGTGCCACAGGAACAGAATGCACAAAGGCAGCTCGAACACCCGATAGGAAGAGCATTGCTAAGCAGTAAGCAAATTGTAAAACACAAGTCAGACAAAACATCTGGCAGCTGCTTCAAATAGTTTTGTCTGAAGGGCAGACAAGCCTGCAATAGCTTCAAATCAAAACATGTGCAAGGACAGGATCAGTGCTCCAATGTGTTTTGTGCAAGCATTGAAGGAGTTTTGTTCCCTTCAGCACTGTTTTGTATGCCAAGAAAGGTTGTGCTTTGGGTTAGGTTTTTAATTTTAATAAACTTTACTAAATAAATCACTATGTATTTCCTTCTCCAGTCAAATGCAACTTAGTCTTTGGCACAAGATCAACAGCATTAGCTCTGCATAGGAAGCATATGGGAGAGAAGGGGAGCATGCTAGGAAATGTTTTTCTTAATTGTCTTACCTTATGCAGTAGAGAAGGTATGACTGCCAAAATAAGTTCTTAAAAGTATGATGCATATCCTTTTAAGTTTGCACATCTCAGGTGCAGGGAAAGGGAAAATCGCCTTGTGATGGTACTGGGTAAGGACGTGACAGGTACAGACTGACATCTAGGCTCCAGCAGGGAAGTTGAGTTGAGAAATAAATTCTCAGTTCTGCAAATAAAGGAGAGAATTGGCAACTGCCTCTGCCCTCCAAGTTCTTCTGTCTTGCCATTGTCATAGCTTTGACCAAGATCCACAGGAAGTATGTTTGTTGACACAGATATGCCGCGCAGGAGCGTAACCTGCACCCAAGACATGCTTTTCCTTTTTCAAGGAATTGTGACAAGACTGCTAAAGTAGTATGACATACTTATCAGCTACTACACCCCTCCACTGATCACTTCCCCACTTGCACACTTTTCTAGACTCAAATTACTTCCAAAGCCTCAACTTCCAGGACAAAACAAAAGCTACTCCACTGCTTGTGTAGAGCATCACGATACCAAGATTCTCCGCAGAATTGCCACAGCATTTCTGTATCACGAACAAGGCAAGAGCAGGCAAACTATCAAGGCCAGAAGCCTTCTATAAAACACAGGAACAATTCCATGTGCGTAAAACTCATGAGTCAGCAACAGCAGGAAGATGAAATGCTGGCCAGGGTTGGTTTTCAAGGAGGCTCTGATACAAGTAGGACTTGCAGTTTTTAATGCTACTCAAAAAGGAGTAGGTCTGCCTGCCACATGCCAGTGCTTGAACACAGGCAATAGCCCGGGAAGCAGAGTGCCACTGATTCATTAGGACTTGCTAATCTGTGATATCATTTGTTGATTCCACCAGGTCCAATCCCCATCTCATGACTTCCTCCACTGTTGCCATGGCACTGTACATAAACACTGCAGACTCCTAGCCTCGAGCAGGTCATTTGTTTCAAATATTCCATGCAGCTGGAACGCAAGCCTGTTTGGGTGTCTGGAGCCGAGCATGAACTAATTTCCCAGTCTTCTGCACCCGCCCCATCTTGTGCACCCTCCCCAGCCTGCTGCTCTCCTAGAACGCTTCCAGCCACACTCCCGGGAAAGCAGAGGCAGCCTTCCCCTGAAAGGTAAGGGGAAGCTGGCCTTGTTCACATACAGGCAGAAAATAACTTTCACTGATGTCCTCCGCTACCTGCGACAAAACCAAGAAGTAATGATTATTGAATATGCTAGATATTTTGGCTTAGTATCTACAAACAACTGTCTTCTACATGTGGGAAAACCAAACAACATTAAGAAATACCAAATTAAAAAAAAAATAATAAATCCTTGACCTGACTAGAGACAAAGACAAGAAACATTTTGGTTTTTTTTTCAAGCTCTCCTCACCCGGTACCCTTATAAGGCAGGTTGTAAGCATACCTCTGAGCTTTAGTTGAGCCTCACATGTTGTATTTGCGTGAACTGATGAAATCATTTGGTTTCCACACACAAGTTGGTAGGTGCAGGGAAGAGAGAAAAGTGTGTGGACAGGAGGGGGAATTAAAGCCTTTCTCATAACTGACTAAAGTACCAAGTGATCTCACTTCCAGTCAGTTTGGAGAGGCTTAACTTAACTGCCGATACAAGCAGAGA